TGGTAATGATTACATAACTTTCTTATATAACTGACCATAGAATTGTATGATATATGGATTATGTGCCAAAAATTTTTTTTAAAAAAAAGAGAGGAAAGAACTTGGAGGCAAAGGACATTTATAGAGGTCTAAATATAGGCATGTATATATGTAAATACAGCTATATACAAGGACAGGGGAATAGATATATGTACATATATTTAATTATAAAGTATTACATTTGCAGATGGACATTGGGCCTCTACTCAAGTACTCCCTCAACACAACACCAATTTGTCTACTCACATGGCACTCTGTGATGGTCACTTTCCTTGACACGATCGCTGAAGACAAAATGGGTGCATAAGCAAATGTGGTGACGAAAGCTGATGTGCCCAACTATCAAAAGATATAGCATCTGGGGTCTTAAAGGCTCGAAGATAAACAAGAAGCCATGTAGCTGGGAAGCAGCAAAGCCCACATGGAAGAAGTGCATCAGCCTGTGTGATCATGAGGCGTTGATGGGCTCAGGTATCAAAGACCAAAAACAAAACAAACAAATAATCAAAATATCGATGGGAATGAGGGGGAGGGCAGAGTGGAGACCGAAAGTCCATCAGTAGTCAATTGGATACCCCCTGTTAGAAGAGCCATAAGTAAGAAACGAGCCAGTCAGGGTGCAGTACAGCACCGCCGAAACACAAAACATTCTTCTAGTTCCTTAATGCCCCACCACCACCACCACACACACCACCATGATCCCAATTCTATCTTATAAATCTGGCTAAACCAGAACATGTATACTGGTACAGATAAGAGCTCACAACATAGGGAATCCAGAGTAGATAAACCCCTCAGGAACAATAAGGGGAGCAGCAATACTAGGAGAGTAAGGGGAGGGTGAGGGTGGGTGGGTCGTGGGTATGGGGGAACCGATCACAATGATCGACATATGGCCCCCAGTCCAGGGGGATGGACAGCAGAAAACTAAGTGAAATGAGACAGTGGTCGGTGTAAGACATGAAAATAAAAAGGAACAATTTATAAATTATCAAGGGGAAATGGGAAAGGATGGGGGTGAAAATTAGGAGCTGATGCCAGGGGCTCAAGTAGAAAGAAAATTTTTTGAAAAATATGACAACATATGTACAGACGTGTTTGGCACAATGGACATATATGGATTGTAATAAGAGCTGTAAGAGCCCCCCAATAAAAACAAACAAACACAAAGAGTTCCAGTCTCAGAAACCTACAGAATCAGTTCTAGCTTGTTATGGGCTGTTGGATCAGAATTGACCTGACAGAAGGGAGGGTGAAGAGAAAAGAGGAAAGTAAATTCCCTAGTTCAGCATGTCTAAAAAATAACATCAGAGTTTTTCTCGTGAGGGTTTGAAGGACATGGAAACAAATTCATTCCAAAGTGTGAAGAAATCCAAAACCCTAGCTGAACTCACCATAACTTTTCATCTTTTTTCACTAAATCAAAATTAATTTTCATAAACCACCTCCTCTAAGACATAACCACCTCATGCCGAGACCTTTAAATACAGTTCCTCATGTTGTAGTGACCCCCTACCATAAATTAGCTTCATTGCTACTTCATAACTGTAATTTTGCTACTGTTATGAATCATAATGTAAGTATCTGATAAGCAGGATGTGTTTTCATTGTTACAAATTGAACATAATTAAAGCATACATAATGATTCATCACAAAAAAATATGTAATTATATATTGTGAAATATTTATTTCTAATTAAAAATAAATGAAATTTTGTCTTGAAGCATGGTGTAGTATGAGTAACAGTCTTCACGCAGCACACAAGGTACTCGTCTGCATGTGGGCAGACATGCCTGGAGACAATAGAGGAGCGGTGTCTCGGTCCCTAAAACCATCGGAAATAAGTGTTTTCCGATGGTCTTAGGCGAACCCAGTGAAAGGGTCATTAGACCCCCAAAGGGGTCGCGACCCACAGGCTGAGAACCACTGCTTTAAGGAGGGGTCAAAGCAGTTTGAAATTTTTTCCCTGCTTATTTTACATTATATGTAAAAAATGATGACAAAAACAAAATATTACTAGGATTTTAAAAGTAGATGAGCTATGTAAGAATCAGTAAAATGATTGTTACAAACTTTAATGAGGGTCATTTGCTTTAACTTCAATGACCTACCAAGCATCTTTAATTAATGCCACATGGTTTCTCTGTTTTGAAGGCTGAATCTCCCCGCTGAAATACACTGATGTAAATTCAAGAAAATCCCTTTAGAATTAGTTGCAAAATGAAATTTGCACTGCAATTATAATCACTGACCTATTACTAGTCTCCAAGACTTTCATTCTTTAATCCCAAAAGTTTTAAATCCAAGATTTATACTGAGAAATTCTACTAGTCCTAACATCATAAGGCAAGTAACAAGCTGTTTGTGAGTCCTATTAAAAACAAAACCAGGTAAGAGGAAATATCCTAACTTACTTTTAATATTGATATCCAAAAATATATGTTGTTATTTCCATTATTATTAGAGTTCAGCTCAGTGGTTATTTTTCTAGCTTTTGTCTACATTGAGGGCTATGGAAGCTAGGATGGGACAGAAAACTGTAATTTAGTTTGACTTTTTCTAATTATAAGGTAGAATTTAAAAATATACATGTGAGAGCACACAATGATTCCATTAAATAATTCAGATATGTGTATTTAAAGTTATTTCTAATTTAGCTGAACATTTTAATGGCTTATTATCTAATATTTTAAAGTAAACAAAATATTTAGCCTTTGTCTTCATTTTAATATTTTCATAAGTTAATTTAAATATTGTGGAAAATAAGTTCATTTGACTATAGAGTTTACATGATTAGGATCTTCGGTTGAGATAGCCTACTGTTGAGATAGCCTACTGCTATCTCTAGACAATAAGAGAAATAATCTTTTAAAACTAAATAAAATTTGTTCTGAAAATTCCTCAAAAGTGCTCCTCTTTTTCAAAGGGCTAGAAACTAAAGTATAAAGGTAAACTTACTTTAATGTTTTAACTTACAAACTATTGTAATCTAATTCAGAAAATCTTATCCTTTGCAAACAAACAGAGTAGATAAGCTTGCACAAAATAATTGATTTATTCTGCTGCCTTCGAGTTTATTCTGACCCATAGAGATTTTATATGGGGTTTCCAAGGTTTTATAAATCTTTACAAGAGCAGCTTCATCTTTCTCCAGTTTGTGGATTTGACCTGCCAGCCTTGTGGTTAGCAATCCAACGCTTAACCAAAGAATGCAACTAGGGTTCCTTGATTGATATAATAATGTCACTAAATTGTATACCTGAAAAATCTCGAATTGGCAAATGTTATATGACATGTATTTTTAAAGCAATGAAAATGAAGTTAATTCAAATAATACAAAGACACCCTTTTTCTCAAATAGTTTTCAACAATTTCCTTTGTGGGCTCTTCTTTAAAGTAAATCTCAATTTTCAGAAGTCAAAGATTACCACCAGTATCATTGTATGATCATGAAATGAAATCCCTTGTCCCAGGTGATAAGGCTAGATCAGAGGTTTGAATGAATTCTGCATCTGTACCATAGAATTTTACAACTGCTTTCCCAGAAGTAGAAGCCACAGTTTATCTCAAAATGCTTACAATGTAATAAAGAAATTGCTTACATCATATAAAATCAATGCAGATTAAACAAGACAGATTCTAGATTACATTGGGTATGCAACATATATACTTAAGGGCTCAGAAAATGGAGCTCTATGGGAACTGGGTTATTTAGTTAAAACTTTATTAAGTAGTAGTGTATATAGATTATGCCTTAATTAAAGCATATGGATATTTGGTCAAAATGCAAATATATACTTGGATCAACTATTTATCAGAAATAATGGCATGGGGAGAGTGTGTACACGGAAATGAGCTTGACACTGGAATGGGGAACGAGGGAGTTGAATAATGGGTGAACGCAGTGAGAAAACAGTTATGAGTGGCGACTGTGGTGAAAAAGATAAGTGTGGATGAGGGCTCAGGCAACCATAAATGTCATTTTAAAGAATTTGAATTTGTCTTAGAGCAAACTAATATTAAAATATTCTTGGCAACAGAACTTTTCTTCTGGCAGTATCATGACGTAGTGATCACTGAATTCCAATACAGATAAATTGATCTGGAAATGATCGGGAAAATATAACCTTAAATAAGTAATTGACCAATGGGGAGCTCCTATCTGATACAGAGTAGCAGTCTCTACAGAGCAAACTATAGAGGCTACATAATGAACGTTTATCAAATCTCATCAGTTAACCATAATTATTAGGGTATGGTTACCAAATTTCATATTAGAACAACAGGTGACTCTTATGACTAGAAACAGGAAGTATTCAGAAGGAGACGATATTAATATTATAGTCACATTTAGGCTCAGAAAATTTTCTCCAGAATAGAATGGGTTAATAAAGCATAGTAAGGAAATCAGTACGTATTTAGTTTCCTAGTTTTTAAATGTAATTTTCTTCAAACAGGCATCATCTAAATATGTAGTGACCTTGTGAACTTTCTAAAGTATAATTTAACAAATTTAAAATTTCTACTCAACTGTGATAGCATGTAAAAAATGTTTGTTCAGTGGAAAAATATCTATATGCAAGAAAATGACTTTTAAATATACTTTAAGGATGATCAGTACAAGAATTGACACTGAAATATTGAAGAGAACCGAATCAACAACAGTTTCTGGTTGTCCATTCTGTCCATATAGATTTATAAATACAAATCTTTCGTTAAAAGCATTTACCGGGAATTATCAAAGAGATCTTAAGCTTTACCACTTGCGGTCATGTAAGGTGATACTTTAGGAAAACAAGCATCTTCTGCAAGCGTGTGTCCCTGTCTTTCCAGATAGCACGGGAAACTTGAAGCAGTGGCGCTGCACCCTTTGTCCCAGAAAAATTTGAAGGAAAATTTATGTATATATTCCACATTATAATCTCCTTTATCCATAATCCCAATTTTAACAGAAGGAAGATATGACTGAGGATAATCATTCCTTCACAGCTGACTTTATCCTCATGGGATTTACCGATCACCCAGATCTAAAGACCCTGCTGTTTGTGATGTTCTTTGTCATCTATCTGATCACCATGGTGGGCAATCTTGGGTTGGTGATGTTGATCTCCATGGAGCGCCATCTGCACACACCCATGTACATCTTTCTGGGCAACCTGGCTCTGATGGATTCCTGCTGCTCCTCTGCCATCACCCCCAAGATGTTACAGAACTTCTTTTCTGAGGATAGAATGATTTCCCTCCATGAATGCATGGCACAGTTTTATTTTTTCTGCTTTGCTGAAACTGCAGACTGCTTTCTTCTGGCAGGAATGGCTTATGACCGTTATGTGGCCATATGCAGACCACTGCAGTACCACACGATGATGTCAAAGCAACTCTGCATTCGAATGATCATCGGGGCCTACATAGCCGGAAATCTGCATTCCATGATTCATGTAGGGCTTTTATTTAGGTTAACCTTCTGTGGATCTCATCAGATTAATCATTTTTTTTGTGACGTTCTTCCATTATACAGACTCTCCTGTATTGATCCTTATCTCAATGAACTGATGGTACTTATCTTTTCAGGATCAGTTCAAATCTTCACTATTACCGTAGTGTTAATCTCTTATCTTTGCATACTGTACACCATTTTCCAAATGAAATCCAAAAAGGGAAGAGGCAAGGCCTTATCTACTTGTGCGTCTCACTTTCTTTCGATTTCAATATTCTATGGCTCTCTTCTCATCATGTACATTCGGCCAAGTTCAGGTACAGAAGGGGATAAAGATATACCAATTGCTATTTTTTATACTCTAGTAATCCCTTTATTAAACCCTTTTATCTATAGTCTAAGAAATAAGGAAATAATAAGTGTTATGAAGAAATTATTAAGAAGAGAAAGCACATCAATCTGAAACAAATATCCCCTGAGACTAATTGATTTTGATTAAACTTTTTTCAAAGTCAAGATACAGAGAAACTGGAAATGAGGACTTTGTAAATCAAATAATAAATTACTAAACTGCGAGGAGTTTTAAATCATAAAATATACAAATGTTTAAATAAGTTCTGAAAGGAAGTGTTCTGCTAAATGTATTTCGAAATCGAAACTCTAAATACTTTTAGGAGGGAATTCAATTACTACTCTTAAAATAGAATTAGAAAATATTACGTATTTTCATGTATTCAATAAATCTTAGAAATACACTGGGTATATATGGGTAGCCTTCATTTAGCATTACGGACAAATATTTGGGATCCCTAATCATAATTTTACAAGCTCACACACATTTTTCTCTCACATATTGGTCATTTAGGCTGTATCCTCTATTAGAAATAAAGTATGCATTTGAATTTGATCCTTAACTTTCTTTGCATGGTTCAAGAGTTTAATTTTGAATATATATAGATAGATAGATAGATAGATATAGATATATATAGATATATATATATATACACCAAAAATATATTAAAATGTTGTGGCTATTTATGGCAAATGATTTCTCAATGTACCATAAATATTAATATTTGTTTATAATATTATGTTTGATAAAATTTTTATTCTATCTATTAATTTATTTTCATATAGTTTATATTATGCTTGTTTGTTTAGAATTCTGTTCTGTAATTTGAGGTCTGATATTAACTGACTTTTTCCCCATTTTTCTTTTTCATCTTCTTCATCTCCTCTTCCTGTTTTCTCTTCTTGTATGGTAGTTTAAATACTTTCACTTAACCCTTGACATTTGATGTAACTTTTGGGCGGGCCTAATAATAATAATTCACAGATTCATTTCATTTCAGTAAACATCAAAGGAGAACTTCTTTGGGGACAAAAATAAATGATGCTGAAATCTCAAGAATTCTAGATATTCTTGAAGAAAAAAAAACCCAGTAAAGCAGATGAAATGTTAATAAAATATTTGATCAAATATCAATACAATTAAAAGGTTAATTTTAGATCAAGAACAAATAGATAGATCAGTGTGTAAATTGAATTAACAGATGTAAATTTTTGTATAAAAATTTTGAGAACAAAACGAGGAGCTGATCCAAAGGGCTCAAATAGAAAGCAAATGTTTAGAAAACAATGATGGCAACATGTGTACAAAGATGCTTGATGCATTGATGTATGGTTTGTTATAAAAGCTGTAAGAGCCCCAATAAAATGTTTTAATAAAAAACATTTTGTGTCAAACGATTGCCATAACAGTAAAGAAAAGATTGTTTAATAAATGGTCCTATATCCATTGGTTAGCTATTTAACTGTTCCACTTGTGTTAAAATCTGTATGCCTCTTTCATTCAAAGATTATTCATAAACATATTTTGTGTTTTCTTTTATTCACACCGTGAATTTTTCTATATAGGACTGTAATTTGACTAGAATTCATTTACAAGTTTTGAATAATTGGTCAAGAGCAATAATGAGAACAATCTTTCCTCATCCTCTCTCATCACATCCAATTTTCATACGATGTCAGCTCCATTTCTAAAGCTCAGGCAGTCCTACTAAAAATGTACCAGTTAGAAAAAACTGCACATACAACTGTCTGATTTTATTTAATAATCTCATTAGTAATACTTACTACATTCAATGGTACAGGGCATAATTAACTAATGTTATCATTCTCATACCAACCCTCAAACACAAATGAAAATTTAATTTTAAAAGACACCGATATTTTAAAAGACAATAATAGTGGAAACTGAAAATAAACTAGCAGAGATATTTGCATTATGTTAGACCAACTTAGAGAGGAATCAACATAGGAACATTGAATTAAAAGATAAAAATTTTAAATATGAATTTTATTTCTCAATAAGCTCAATCAGGCTTAAGATGGTTTTGTAAGCAATGATACCAACCATTTAATCTAAACCTAAAGAACCGAGGTGAGGAATAAAAAGAAATCATAACCTCCAGAGAGAAGAGATGGAGGTGAAGCACATCATTTGGACACTGGGTCCCTGTGTTGAGAACCTTCTAGAAGATTGAGAAAGAGTGTGCATTGCAACACCAGAGAGATGGCGAGAGGTGGCAGAATATGATGGGTTGCAGAAACATCAGAACCAGGAAATTGGCAGGAGATGATACAGTAGGCTTGCAGACCCTCAGAGAGATAAGAGTTCAGTGCCTTCAGGCAGAGACTTGCTGGCAGAATAGGGTGCATCTGGGCAGTTGGTGGAGCTGGGTTTGGTGATCCATGATGCTATGCCAAGGTTTAATATGTGAATAGGCTGACTCTGGACACTTGTCAGCAGGGCAGAGGCTGACAGGTCATGGGGCTGAGGACTAGAGAAGGACCTATCTGTAGACGCCATTAAGATGAAGTAATCCCAATAGAAGAACTGCATACTGAGTATTCTTGAGCACTGATTGCAAATTCTAACTTGTTGCTTGTTTACACAAAATAATAAGAAATAAAGAAAGAACTGAGAGCATGGAAATTTAACCATGTCAATGTAATCTTTTATATTATTATTATTAGTTTTTTAATCATTTTATTGGGGCTCATACAATTCATCACAATCCATACATATATCAATTGTGTAAAGCACACTTATACATTTGTTGCCCTCATCATTCTCAAAATTCGCTTTCCACTTGGGTTCCTGGAATTAGCTCCTCATTTTCCTTTTTCACCTTCCCCTCCCTCCCCGCTCCCCCCTCCCTCGTGGACCCTTAATAATTTACAAATTATTATTATATCTTATCTTACACTGTCCTGCGTCTCCCTTCACCTACCCTTCTGTTGCCCATCCCCAGAGAGTAGGTTATATGTACATCCTTATGATCATTCCTCCTTTTTACCGCCCCCCCCTTCCCTCCCGGTGTCACCACTGTCACCGCTGGTCCTGAGGGATTCATCTGTCCTAGATTCCCGGTGTTTCCAGTTCCCATCTGTACCGCTGTGCAACCTCTGGTCTAACCAGGTTTGCAAGGTAGAATTGGGATCATGGTACACGGGGGGAGGAAGCGTTTAAGACCTAGAGGAAGGTTGTGAGTTTCATTATTGCTATACTGAACCCTGAGTGACTCATCTCCTACTCAGTTCCCCACTGCAAGGTATGTCCAGTTGTCTACAGATGGGCATTGGGTCCCCATCACGCGCTACCCTCATTCACGATATGATTTCCTCCTCCCTCCCCCCTCCCCCTGCCTTTGGTGCTTGAAGCCTGGTCCCTTCAGCCCTTCATGATCACACATGTTGGTGTGCTGCTTCCATGTGGGCTTTGTTGCTTCTGGGCTATATGGCCGCTTGTTTACTTTCAAGCCTTTAAGTCCCCAGACGCTATATGTCTCGGTAGCCGGGCACCACAAGCCTTCTTCACCACTTACTTATGCACACATTCGTCTTCAGCGTTTATGTGGGGAAGGTGATCACACAATGATGGTTTTTGTTCTTTGGTGTCTGTTACCTGATCCCTTCAACACTTCGTGTTCACACAGGCTTGTGTGCTTCTTCTTTGTGGGCTTTGTTGCTTCCAAGCTAGATGGCTGCTTGTTTGCCTTCAAGCCTTTAAGACCCCAGACGCTATATCTTTTGATAGCCGGGCACCATCAGCTTTCTTCACCACATTTGCTTATGCACACATCTGTCTTCAGCGATCATGTCGGGAAGGTGGGTATCATGAAATGACCGTTTAACTGAACAAGATGCTCTTGTATGAAGGGAATGTGTGCAAGGAAGCCCAAAGTCCACCTGCCACCCTACTACTAAACCTATAAATATATGCACCTAGGTCCATTTCCCCCATAATCTTAAATATATTTACATATGTACATATCTGTATTTAGGGTTCTATGTATGTCCATTGCCTCCTACTTCTTTCCTCTATTTCCTTACACTTTCCTCCTCTCCCATTACCATGTTCAGCCTTCATTCTGGTTTCAGTAATTCCTCTCAGTTACATTGTCCTTGGTCACTCCCTACCAGTCCTCCCATCCTCTCCCTTCCATTGGTTTTGAACCACTTGTTGTTCCCTTGTCCCTGGGTTGGCCAACACCTCCTCCCTTCCCCTACCTCCCACACTCTCATGTTCCTCCGGGGCCATTGGTCCCTTTATTTTCTTCTCACCTTTTTTCCCCAGCCTCTCTTATCTAGGTGAATATTGAGGATGGCTTTGACAGCACAGCACCAAAGTGACACATAAAAACATGGCGACGACAGCAGCAGCACCGACAAGCTAACAAACAAAAAAGCAACTGACATACAAAATTTAAAAGAAGAGAAAAAAGGAAGAAAATAAAACAAAACAAATAGGCAGAAAACAAAAGCCTGTTAGTAGTTCAAGGTCTGTTTGTTGACCTTTAGGAGTGTTTTCCAGATGAGTCTAATGGGGTGCCACATCCTGGCTCCAAAGTCCATCGTTTGTACTCCCTTAGAACCTCCTTGCTCTGCTTCCCTGCCACTACATTGCACGCCCCCACTGTTTTGCCTCAGTGTGGTGGGGTCAGTTCAGTCGCACATTCCACACTGTGTCTCCGGTGCTGTCCTGTGTAGGGCCATGGGTCAGTGCAGGATGTTGCATCTCACCGTGGGGGCAGCTATATGGTCCTAAAACATTATCACTATAAACTTTTTGTAACATCAATGATCTCACCATTACTCAACTATTCTTCACCATAAATTTGATGATAGTTCTTGCTTCAGAGTTAGCAGAATTCATGTTGCTCTACTACTCTTTTCAATCTGATGTGTTATTCTTAATCAATGAAAAATGAGTGCCCCTTTGAAGGTTTTTTCATGATTTTGAAACCAAAATAAATCAGAAGGACACAAATTAGGGCTATGAGGAAGATGCCTAATGATTTATAATTGAACTTTTCACAAATTGCCCTTATTTGATAAGAAGAATTAGCATGAATCCTGGAGAAGAACTTTCAGGTGAAAGTTTCCCTAGAAACATTT